AAGATAAAAATCGTTGAGTTTCACTTGCAAGCTGGACTGGGTGACAAGTCGTGGATACTGTTTGACAGTGGTGTTTGCGGAACTGTTGCCCGGAACGGCTTGCTCCGGACTACCCTGTTTTGCCGTTGAATGAGAGCGCGCCCTCACTGCGGAGCTTGTCTGGAAAGACACTGACACTGGATGTGGAAGGTCCGAAGAGTGCGCAGCTTGACTGTGGCAATGGCCATTCGTTGAGTGTGCAGTGTCTCTCTTCCTCTCTTTCTCTCCTTCTCGCCCTCTTTCTTTCTTTCTTTCTTCTCTCGCTCTCTCCTTCTCCATCTCCCATTCTTTCGGCAGGGTTATGGGCAAAGGGGAGCTCCCCTATGCCTCCCTCTGTCTCTTTCTTCTTCCTTCGGGTAAGAGGAGCAAGTCACGCCTTGCGGCCCACAGGGCCCCCCCATGGTTTGTGGGCTTTCGGGTGAAGACAGTACACTCTCTCTCTCTCTCTCTCTCTCTCTTCTTCCTTCAGGTTAAGGGAGCTGGTCAGGCTCCCCGGCCCATAGGGCCCCCCAGCGTTCTGGGGCTTTCAGGGAGACACTGTACGTACCGCAACACGTACCGGAGGGGGATGCTATACTGTACGTACCCACCGTTGCTTTTGCGAGTCAGTCCCCCTGACAAAAAGGCAAACGAGCATCAACGAATACTTGACACACAACATTAGTTCACACCTTTGGGTCTGATCGCAGCTGTGGGTTTTGCAGTCCCCCTTTCTCGGCACACAGTTTCTGCTGGGGAGGGGATCAGGTTGAGAGCAGGGCCGGCAGGAAGGGAAGCTTAGCTAGCAACATCGAAACAAGGCGCTACCACAACAAAACTGAACCACGCTGGTCACTTTCGGGCCCATCCCCCTTTCCCCAGCATTGACAAGTACATGCATGGACACCATTCATGAGAGTCCCCAGTTGTCTAGGTGTTAAGCGAGCAAAACTAGAAACCTCTCACTATCAACATGAACATAAAGGACTCTTCAGGGATTTTTCTCCTGTAAAAAGCAGTCTGCCGGGGCCCATGCCAGTTGGGGAGACGGCTCCCCCGGTCGAAAGAACATGGCATCGGATAGGTGACTACCCGAAGGCTAACTATTGGTTGACTGACATGGTCTCCCTGTGGAGCGAGGGTTTTCTCGGCTGAGGCTCGGGGGATCATGCGGAGGAAAACGACACACAAGATTGGGTCCTAGTCCAAGAAACAAAGTCACGCTGCAGCGAATATCCCCCTGGCCTCAGTGAAGCTACCATCATCGGTTCCGGGAGTCATCCCCGGTGTTTGCACGATGCATCGTGCTGGGGTTCATGCCAGTCGTGAGGGCGTACCCCCCGGTCAGCAAAAACTCAGAGCAGCTAGGAAAACACATAGCAGCGACTATTACTTCGACTGACATGGTCCCCCTGTGTTGTGTAAGGTATTTCGACTGAGGCCCGGGCCAGCAGGATAGGGTTGCAGCGGGGCAAGAAAGTTCTCTCTCTCTCTCTCTCTCTCTCTCTCTTCCCCGCTGGCTCCCACACGACCTACACCCCCCTGCCAAACCTTCTTCACGATTATCTCTCGGTTCAGCCCAATCACTGTTACAAGGGACCCCTGAGATTCGCTGTTGCTGAAGCCTTTGGATCGTGCCATCTGCAGCCAGGCTCGTGCAATCTGCGCAGCAGGCATCGCAACACCGGTGTCGGCCATCATGACCTCGGGAAACGGGGGAGGGCTCGGGGGGAGTGCATTGGATGCCACCGGGATCAGCCCCACAAACTGGATCAGCCGAGGTTGCGTTGCCAGTCCACTGTTTGAACAGCTCCTCCGCATCGTCCTGCTTGAAAGCATCGCGTGGACAACCAGACCAACAAACACAGCGGCAGGCTCCAACGGTCAACCATAAGAACGGAAAGTATCAGGAGTGGGCTTGATAAGACTTGCGATTTTCGGTTCTCACAGCTTTGCAGAAGCTTGGCAACATGTCGAATCATCAGGGAGCCATTTCACACAAATGCATGTATACACGCGGAGCTCTGGCATGTGCCCTACCCCTACCTCACATCTACAAGGCACGCAGCATGCACTACATGCATTCTGCAGCGCCTTTTCCGGACACTGCATGGAAGAACTACATTCATCGATGCCGTGCTGCCATACCTGCTGGAATCGGAAGATGCGAGTGGAGGAATTAGGGGCGGCCTGATTCCGGGCTCTGGCGCTGGCACTGGCGCTGGTGGCGCTGGCGCCGGGACGCTGGTGGCGGGCCCGCTGGTGCTAGAACGGCTGGCACTGGCGCTGGTGGGTTCGGGCTGGCGCTGGCGGAATAAGGCTATAGAGGTAGTGTATGCATGTATTCCTGCGCCGCAGGATTAGTCAGAACACGACACATGCTTGCGATTCAAGTATATGCGCTCTGTAGATGGCACACACAGTATGAGCACGCAACAAAACCGCATCACCCGGATATATGCGATATGAACCGGAGATATGGAGATGCTGGAGTTCAACCTCGCTCTCACAGTTCAGTCACCCTCGGACCCACTCCTGCCCTCTGCTCTTACTCCTGTCACTTGCCGGCCCGCACCTATCAACTCCACCATGTACGCCTATCGCACTCGGTGGCAACCTCATGTTATGAGCGCGTCGGGGTCATCCGGTCGGTCCTCAAGACCATCGTAAGTTGCAACTCCTACTTGGCCTGCTGAGCTGTGCCCATTCAGCATCTCAAGAGCCCTTGAACCCCAAAATGCCCCCTGGCACCCCCCTCCTTCTTTGAGGGTGCTGGAAGTGCTGGGGGCTGTGGAGGCACTGGAGAAACATCCTTCGTGACCACCGTGGGCTGCGCCTCTGCTGAGGTTGCCGGCACAGGGCGCATCAGGCAGACGAGCTAAGGAAGACTCACTGCCTGGAAGCTGTAGGATTCACAAGGCTGATGGATCCGCGCTTGTATCAAGGCTTGCTAAAGGGCATACCCTGTCGCAAGCTACACCCTGCAAATCCCCTGCTGGCAGTCCCGAGTGCAAGGTCGAGGGCAGAACAGCCATGAAAAGCATTGATTCGGTGGACATTGAAGTGCAGCTGCATGTCTAAGAGTCGCCTAATTATAGACATATGCTGCGTCTGTGCTTGGAGGAGATGGTGTTCAAAATGCCCTGCCTGCAAGTTGGCATCTTGCCGGCTGGCATGGGCAGATAGAAGCCTGCACAAGAAACACCAAACACGACCGCCCTTGCCCGCGAGTAGCTAGCCAAAGCATAGGTGAACCGGGGTCTACTGGGTTTGGGGCTTGTTCTGCTGAAGAAATCAACAACGTACTGATATGGATTGTTTCAAAGGCTTTAAGGAATACTTCTAGTCTAGGACCTTTGCGAAGAAGGGTTGTACAAACCATCTGCCAAGCCAACGAATGGTCCGGTTGAGACTATGTGACTATGGACTGCAGAGCCCAAGCACGTTGCAACGGAAGCTGAAATCCGCACGTACCGTGATTATGTGGCGCCCACCAGCCCGCTCTGCATCGTTCTTTCTGTTAGATTTAGCACAGTATCATTGGTACGCTGCAGCTCAGAAGCCACAGCAGCAGGGCCAAGACGGCCAGGAGGATGCTGGAGCTTTCCTGGGTAAACGGTAAACATGCCAGGGCCCTTAATATGAACGTTTACGTGGGTACAGCAGTCCGGGGCCGACTTTCAGATGCAGCCCATCTATCCCGGCCCGAGCTGAGTGCAACCACTGGAAAACACAGGGACTCCCTTATTGTTGGATCCGCCACTGAGGCGACGAAAGACCGCACGGCGGCAGCTAACAGCAGGGCAGAAGCAGAGCGAAGATGCCACACCTGTCACCGATGACAGCGAAACAACAGTATATCAGTGTGGGCTGGGTTCGGCAGTTGTCGAATCAAAGCAATTCATCGGCACCTCCAGCGTCAACCCGGCCATCGCTGCATGGCTCAAGCGCGCGACAAGGCCTTTATGTCGCTTGAAGCGGCTGAAGACTACTGGCCGAAAGCGGCCAATGGTTTGAGCAAGGAATTTGGGCTTGTGGTCTTCGGCAGGTAGGGCTTCTGGTTGCAAAGCTTCACAATTCGTGGCGTAGCTGAGAACTTCTTGCTTCATATCTGCCTCCCCCTAGGAAGCATCATTTCTGCTTGGAGGCTCCTGGCCTTTCTCTCTAAATCTCTATAAATCTGCTGAAACCGTTCAAGCACAAAGCTACTGTACTGCTTGCTATCAGACAATTGGTCTAGCCTTCATGCTCAACCGTTGCTCAGCCAGTGCAGCCACAGAACACCATCAGATGATATGAATCACGCGGAAGCTGCAAAAGTCGGCCGCCAGTCAGGACGAGCCACGAGGTCAATCACATCTTTCTTGCGTGTCATAGCAGTCAACCGATCATTTCAACCCGGTGGTGGGGCCATTCTAGCCCCCACTTCGCGAGAGCATTTCTAAGCGCGCCGTTTGACTGTCCCGTCCTGGGACTCTCAGGACAGCACCCTCGCTGTTGCGCACCCTCGCTGCTTGTAGGATTTATGGCAGCCTGTCCCCAAGTACTTGGCTAGTAGCCTCCGAATATCCTCCAAGCAGGAAAGCTCGCACGCGCGGGTGCACGGCGGCTCTAAATTTCGATTTTGCAGTGGTGCAGTGGCAAGCGTCCGATTTCAACCCGAAATTCTAGTTCTCAGAACGTGCTCTCGTTGGTACACACCCGATCTGTAGAACATGGCAATAATTGGCAATGACTACATGACTACATCCGGCCTGACGGCCAAAGCTTCACACAAAAATTATGAGCTCAACGCAGAAGCGGAGAAAGCGCTGGCAGCCCTCGCAGCTGCTTTGTGCCCACGGAGTTGCTGGGCCAAGAGCCCCCCTCACACTCCTAAAACCCTTCTGGTACCGCTTGTAAGTTCATCAAAGATGTGATATGCTTGTTCTCAACGAAACCTGCGCTGGTGATGGGATCTGGGTCTAATTGGAGGCTCCTGTTCAAAGGGAAGCTTCCGCCCCTGCTGATGGGCTCGCAGCTGCAGCTTCAGCTGCATCGTCGTCCTCCTTTGCATCCTGCTGGCAAGGGCGGGCCCGGCAAGGTTCGATGAAGACTCTGGAGGATTCTAGTGACAGGGGTATCGTAAGGCAGGCTAAAGCGAGCCGCCACTAAATTTCGACACACTTTCGCAGCTCCTGCAAGCATGGACTGCAAGCATGGACCCCTGTATCTCAGGCTCAGAGGCCGGGAAGGCGGGCCAATTTAATCAGCAGCACCTCTCATCTGCAATCTGGACTGCATCACGTAACATGTAAGATCTAAGGGCCTCGTTGACTTCTTCATCTCGGAGGGCTCTGATGACACACAGCATGCGCAGGTCGGTGAGGTGCTCCTGCATCAATGCAAGGATGCTTAGGCTCTCGGCAAGACCTGAATTCAAGAGTCCTGGCCTCCCCTCGCTTCCCTGATGTCGTAACTTCTCGCCCATCGATCTATCAGATCCTAGGCGTAACCCTCGCATGACCCCCTAACGCTTCCTAGCTTGGGGCGCCTTGAGAGTTGCCTGCTGGGCCGAGCTCATTGCAGAGAGCCTCAACTGGTGCGTCGGGGTGCCACGGATCTGATGTTGGAGTTGAGCTAATTCTGTTTGTTCGTGTGCCTTCCACCTGTGACAGTGCCAAACGTGACCCTAGCCTGCATGTGAAGCTGCCGATCCCTATCGCGTCGAATGTTTCTCCTGGCTAGTTGGGGCATTGGGCAGGTTCACTCCGTAATTACTACTGCTTGTCTTGAAGAGTGAGGTAGAATGCCCAACATAGTCTCTGCACAGCAAAAACAAAGGTCTACAGCCAACCAAAACTACGACTCCAAGAAGCGACCTCAGCGCCTAAGATCTACCAAGGTGCTCTGACGAGCTTTCAAGTCTGGCGAAGGCAGGACGCATGTCCGAAGTCTCCAGCGCCGGCGAATCCTCAAGTTTGCAGATCAGGGCAACTCTCTCATCGTCTCGGCAGTTAAAGGCGGTCTTCAGCAATAGGAAACTGTGAGTCCTGGCTGAATCTTTTCTTGTGCAAAACATTTGTGCATGTGGGGCAATGCCGAAAAACATCGAGATCCCGAGTTTTTTGAGAACATGAGACATGGAACGAAACAGGAAAGACTACCTAGCTTCGGCGATGTTTTGCACGCTGACTGAGGACCGCACTTTGGTCAGAACCTTGAAGACCTCGGTAATCTGTTGAAATCATGGTGTTGCTTTTGGTTGGCTAACAACACACCGACAGCACGTTCACGCACAAGCATCACGTCTGTTAAATTAATTTGGTGAAAGATGATGTGTGCATCCGCAAAATATGTGCTATAATCAAGGGACCGCTTTAGAAGACATCGTGCTTTGACGATTGGCCCGTGTCACTGCCTGATGATGTACTCATTGACACATTGGCCCAAGTCCTTGAGAACAATGCCCAGACCGAGCGAAGCATCCATGCGCCAATCATAATAACGTCCCCTCAGACCCCACGCGAGCACCTGATATGCTACGTGCACAAGAACTTGTGAGAATCATCGACGTGCGCACTGTCTTGGCAAAAATATCGTTGCAGCTGCTGGGCCTTAACTAAGAACAACGCTGCTGTGCCGAACAACAACAACAACATGTTGAGTGCACCGGTACTTTCCCTGCATTGGAACTTTTTAAAGGTCTCTTTGATCCCACGGCGGCAGGCTTTTCTGACTTGGTCACAAATGTTATTCTTGCATGCAAACGTGCCGTCGGTGCCCTTTCCCCACCTATTGTGCGATAGCTCACCAGCATGAAGATAGAACAGCAACAAAACATGTACTAACTCCTGTACACTTCATGCGCCTGACCTCAATCAACGGCATTAGATCTGCCTGAACAAGCTCTCTCAAGCACCAGGTGCTGTTTCGTCCAGCTCCTGCAGCACTGCAAGCACCGCTTCTGGCTCTCGCAGTGATTCCTGCAATCAAAAGGTGCAGTCGCACTCCGACTCTTGTGGTTTGACGGTATGACCTATCAGGACCTATCTGTCAGCTGCAACATTCGCACTGAAAATTGTGGTAGGTGCCGTCAACCTCAACATTATGCTCCCAATCCCGGTGCGAAAAGAAGTCCGAAGATTTGTTGCAAAACTGCTTTCCGTCCAATGCGGGGCCTTGCCATCCTTGCACTTGCTGGCGCATTTTGTCACCAGGTCGTCGTCCGAGGGTAGAAAATAGGAAGCCGCTCGGAAAACCTTGGTATGTGGCAGCTTTCCAAGCTGACCTAAGAGAATGTGCCGATTCAAGACACACGCAAGAGCTTCGAACTATCTAGGAAGCCTCAAGGTTGATCCACTACAGCGGTTGCACCGGTGAAGTTCCGAAACGCACTCCGTCAGCCCGTCAGCTCTTCTCGCACACAGTGCAGCTGCGCTGCCAAGCAAGAGAAGACTTCCCTTGGCTGCCAAACTGCGATGAGAAAGACGGGCAGACATGAAGACTAAATGATACCTGCTTCGCTTCGTTGCTCTCGCTGGAACTGACTGGGCACGGGCCTGAATAACAGCAACAGCTCATGTAGGCGTCTGCGTGACAGCTTGAACTAGGGGATCTCTGTTCGCACCTCGTGGACTCTATCAAGCGGAAGTGCACCGATGCAAACAGTAGTTTGTGCAGGGCACCTGGCGAAGGCTCGTTGGTCAGTCGTCCGTTGTAACCATAGAGTTCCGTGGCCACGCTTCGAAAAACAAGCGTCCCTCACCTGAACTGTACCAGAGCCACGGCACCATTCAGGGAGCTGGTCGATCACTGTCAGGAGCTCCCTCCGCAGGTTATTTTGGCTGTGTTCTTTCTCATCTTGACTGTTCGTTGTGTTGCAGCTTGCTTACGCTCTCACAACTCGGACAAGCCAGGCGAGGTTCCGAAGGTTCTGTTCAGCGCAACCCTCTAGTTGAGCTGCAAGCGTTGGTGCTACGAGGCCCTGGATTGATTGATGCATCCGCCATTCGGCTAAATCAAAAGCATCAAAACAGGTCCGAATTCCCAGCTCAGCCTTCAAACCCCCAAGGGCCAAAATCCATTCCGGGCACTCCAGGTCTCGCCTGGCAGCAACCTTCTCCTCCTGTGCAAATTTCCGGGCTCGGTCCACGCTCCTGCTTTCGCTGCAAGTTGGAGTCAGGCTGGACGTGGAGTTGGGGGTAATGCTTCCTCGTATTCAATCTGTCCCGAAGCCGGTTGAATTTTACTGCTAAGGAATAGATGCTTGCCTTGCAGGAGATCCAAAGCTTCATACAGGCGAGGTCCGATTCAGCGGATGTCCTACCCGGGCAGTGGAGTGCGACCGACGTAGGGAAAACTTATTGATGGTTAAGTGATGGCATCGCTTGGACCGACAAAGCCCCGGTCGACCAGCCTTGAGTTTGTGATTCTGTTACAAAGCTGCGAGGTCGGACTGCCCGCTTCATGCCTCGCCTTAGCCCTGACGAAGCACTTTTGCCGCGACCAGACTTCCGACACCGAGAGCTATTGTGCTAAGGTCGCACGGTTCATGCACAAGGCACAGTATCCGGTGAGAACAAAACTTCCTTCGCATGACTGCATACCAGCCTGAGCACAGCCATGGACAAACCATGCTCGAAGTCATGAACCCCCAAGTCCTGAAGCCAAGAGTCTCGGAAACCGTGAACCCTATCAGCGGCAATAGCCGTGAGCAGCCCGCCCGAGGCCGTGGCTGATCTGTGAAGTTGAGCAAGATCTCAGTTCAGCGAGGACTGCGAGGAATCACCATCGCTAGACCGAGGCATTCCCGGTGACCCTTGCGCGAGGATGTCCGGGCCAACATTCACAAGGACATGCCGACCGCAAGCACAATTCTGTACCATTCTGGCACACAACAGTCTTCTTATGGATTGCCGGCAAGTTTCCCGCGGCTGCGGCGAATCATTGTCGATGACCTTACGGTGTCAGTGTCACTGAGTCTTTAGAGAATTGAAAACTGACTTTGCATGCTTTCGATTGACTGCCAGCAAGCACAACTTATGATCTGTCTGCGTAACTTCTCTGACACAGAACTCTTGATTCAACCGTGTTGCGTGGCTCGTCTGCACTGGTGCAGCAAGTTTTGTGCCACACTACCAACAGGAGGCCCCGACGATGAAGTGATCAACCTTCACTTCCGTCGCAGCCTCACTGCTCCCGTCATCTGTGGGTCGCTGCCCCAGTTTCAGGGACTTGAGCATCCTGGGATCTGCAAGTTGAAACCCGATTGGATGCTGTCATGATTTGAATCTCGTTGCGGCTGCAACACTCCCGGTTCACTGCCGAGGGAGTATCGGACGTTGACGTATGCTTGGGCGCCAGGGGTCTCGACTTTACATACGATGAGAGCAAAGAATAGGACATGAAGGGAGTTCAAAGTGCGCACCTGGCCTTGGAGGAACCATCATCGCTGGCATGTAGAGAAGCAAAGCTGCTCTTCCCTTCACATGGGAGGCTCTCCAATGCTAAACAGGCACCGGGAGATGTTCGACTCTGCCTGTTGGGCATGGAAATGCCTAAGCTGCACGTACACCGGCTCTGCATTCTCGGCTGTCCCTGGCATGAGCCGCTGTGCTGCTGCAAGCAAGAAGCAGATTCACCAAGTTGGCATCCACATTGCCACCAAGAAGTCCTTGCTCGTCCCCCCCAGTATGTGGGGTAGCAGGCAGCAGAGTGCTTAAGGAAATGCAGAAGATGCGGAAGCATCCCAGACCTCATCCCGAAACTTGTGTCTGGCATGGCCATTCATAGAGAGACTCACAGAGAATTCAATGTAGAACTAAGCCGAGAATCTTTTGTTTTCACGTTCCTGGCGATGACGGTTTTGCTGCCGGGCATGTCGTGCTTCCTTCGCAGCAGTTCTGGTATTCACTCTCCAGGATCTCGGCTGCAGGCCGAAACCGGTGCTGCAGCAGGGTGACAGCGTGGATCTGATGCTCTAGCTTTGAGTTGTTGGAAGCATGCCTCACGCCCAGACCAATGCCAACCCACGTAGCTTTGCTCTCTCGAAAAATCGGACCCGGAGACTCCTGGCTGGCATATGGCCAGAAACCCACCACTCGGAGTGGCATGTGAGCGACGGGGCTGACACCTCAGGCTTGCACAAAACCGCAGAACCCTCGCAGCCTCGCAGACACGGCAAAGGCAAAATCGAAAACAACGAATCTCTGCTGCAGACGCGGCGGCTTGAGTGTGCCAATTCCAGGATTTGCATGGTTCGGTCGATAGCGGCCCCTGCCATCACCGAAGAGTAGTACCTTACGCGGTGTGTGCGCTGGGCATCTTCAACTAGAAGAGCACTTTAGGTGGCTGATTGGCTGCGCACCTTCAGCCTGGCTTGGTCTGCTGAATACGGACGACCACATTATTTCCCTGACCATTGCCACCTTTCAATCGAGTGTGGATCGGGATACACGGCGAGCTCGGGCGCGTCGACAATTGTGACCTGCCACTGACGCAAGTTTGCCAGGAGATCAGTAGCTTCGTGAACATTGCGACCTGGCCGGCGCGGGCCTTGATGACGTCCCATGCCAAGGAATCTCTGACAGGCCCTGAGCTCAAGCTGAGCCCACAGTGCAAGCGCTCAGCTCACAGGGCTCTCACGGAATGACAAGAGTCACCATGCTCGGATAAGGCCGAGATATGGAGTAAACTCGTGAAGTTACGCCGTTACGCGACAGGGGAGCGCGGTCCAAGTGAAGGCAAAGGCTTTCGAAGTCAGGGTTCCGTGATGAAACATCGCATAGGTCAGCCATTGCATGGCCCATGCGATGGCGCTCTTGTACTCAGTCGACTTGCCTCTCAGGGCTTTGACCTGAGGCCGGCATCTGAGTATTGGTGGACATAGCATGTTCGATGAAGACTACTTTTAGCAAAGTTCGAACATGATGAACTTGCCTGCGGCCGGCTTGTTTGGGCTCTCCTGTGTTGTTGAGTCTTTGATTCCATGATGCTTCGCATCACTACAGGTGTGTAGCTTCAAGCCGTGGGGCTTCTGCAATGATTTCTCGATACCCAAACGTCCCAGCTTTACGCCCCTTCTGACCAGCTGTAGGAAAGTTGCCGCCCAATCCAAGTCCATGGATGCCGTATCCTTTCGAGCCAGGCGCATCCTTTGCTTTGCTGGGTAATTTGAGTGCTTCCTGTAATGTCTCACAACATAGCCAGAGCAATGGGCTCAAGACCATCATGCTCATTTTTTGGAAGCAGACACGTGGTGCGAAGCTTTCAGCACGGGCTTTGTTCAATCGGCTAACAATCTCACGCAGAGTGCGACATTTCCGGTCGGGAACACCTCTCCGAAGACATACCAATTAAAAAGGTACGCCTAGCTAAGAATCGTGTCTGCAAAGAAAAGCATCTTCCTGCAGGATCGCTTATATGTCGCTGTGTGCTCCTTGGCTCTGCTCCGTAAGCCAAGCAGCATCCTTTTCCAAAGGGCTCCTCCGGCCTGATCTGGGAGATCTCCGACTGCTCATGGCCCAAAACCGAAGCCCGGCCTGGTGTTCTTTGGGAAGGCCCACTGCTACGCTGAACTGCTCGCGGAAGCCCGGCATGCAGTCCTGGGCCCAGGCATCCCAAGTCTTCATGACGGACATGCAAAGGCTTACATACAAGACTGAAGCTGGCTTTCGGGTCTGTTCTATCGGCCCTGCGCCACTTAGGGTTGTTCCAGAGAACTGGCTTATCTGGCTTAACTACCATTTGCTCGGTAGCAATACCTCGATAGTCCGATAGTCTCGAGCACAAAACGGTTGACTGCATTGATCCCGAAGCAAGCCCACTTGTGACGAGGATCGCAGAGATTGTCATTGTTGACCTCCTCCCTGTATTTTAGGGAGCGGGCCTTGGCTGGCCGGACTATCATGCAGGACATCGATGCCTGCATTTCTGTCAGGCGCAGATAAACTCGTCCTTGAGCTACTTTCCAGAGGCGCAAGCTTTCAGAATGACGACCCGCAACCTTTGTCCTCTGATGTTCTGCCATGTTGCAGTATTTCTCACTGCGTGCGGCACCTGCCAAAACTGCGCTCATGCCACATCTTGCTTTTTGTATTTCACAAGCCATGACGACTCCAGTTAGAGCTTCTTTGCCAGCAAGAAGATGCTGTGTATGTTGGAGCCCATCGCGATGGCTCATCTAGAAAGTTCCTTCGGCTAGTTGCATCGCTAGTGCGGTCCGGGCAATATGTTGGCTCGGCACCAAGCCCCTGAACTGTAGATCACCGCTTTCGATCTCTGTGCACAAGCTCAAAACGCACTCGCCAACCCATCCACAAATTCACAGGCCTGTTCAGGAGGCAAACGCTGGATGGAGCTTTTGCCCGCGGCCGGTGGCCCCAGCAGCATGACTATTTCCTCATCTCCGACGTATGCGAGGATGGGTCAAGGTTTGAAGCAATGGTGGCTGTCTGTCTAGGACTTTCATGTACATGTAGACTCGAATTTCGTGACAAGGAATGAGGGTGAAGCATCAAAAACAGTTGGCAGACATCAAGAAAGAACTGCCTTGTCAGCAATGAGTACAGTAAAGCATGGATAAGCATTAACAAAAATGGAGCTGCAATCGTAGAAAGCCTTTGTAAATTACGATACTGCTGGCGGCAGGCTATTGGGGAGTACAAGATGCAGGATCCGGTTCTGCCAAGAGAAATTACAAAATCCAGAGTCCTCGGATTAAGACGAGTTGAAACCTTTTCAATGGGCGAGCTGTTGGCTAAGTACAGTTTGCAAAGTCTTCTGTCTCAAAAGCATGATAAGTGGCAGAGTCCTGTAGGGATCCAATTATTGAACAATTCTATTTTGCGCGGCCCTGTTTTGGGCCAACTGGGAATGACAATTGACAGAGCCCTGTTTCGGGTTAAAACCATTGAAGAATTCCAAATGCACCTTTTCGGGGTCGAGCCATTGAGGAATTCCAAACTGCAAGCTGTTTCGGTCAGACATGCGAGGACTGTTTGGAGGACCTCTAGCAAGGCCCTGTTTTAGGTCGAGCTGCAAGTATTGGGGAATTACAATGTTACAGTTGGCAGAGTCCCGTTTGTGGTAAAACCGAGAAATCGAAAGTAGAGGACCGGATTGTTCCACTTGTTCGACGTCAGAGCGCGCGTGGTGGGTGTGTGTGGTGTGTGTGTGTGTGCGTGGTGCGCTTGGTCCTTAAACATGCTTTGTTTGGTGTGCTGTGTGTGATGTACTTCATCTGGTTGTGCTGTGTGCGATGTGCAGCCAGCCCTCCTAGAAGCTTCCGTGGGGGGTGTGCCGTGTGTCGTGTGCTGTGTGCGGCGTGCTCGTGTGGTGTGCTCTCTTGGCTCCTTCGACTAGAATGAGCTGTGTGCGGTGTGCTGTGTTTGGTGCCAAGCATCTGGTGTGTTGCGTGTGGTGTGCCATGCACGGCATGCTGTGCATGATGTGTCGCGTGTGCTGTGCCGTCTGTGGTGTGATGAGTGTTGTGTGAGGTATGCACGCGAGGCCTCAAGCGATCTCAGAAGGGGGGGGGCCCAAAGCGCGCGGCCTCCAACCAGCCCTTCTAGAGGCCTCGGCCCTTTTAAACGCCTGTCAAACAGAGTCGCAATACTAAAATCAATCATTACTAATTGTAGTAATGAACTTATTCACGCCCATAATAGTATGACATTACCGGCGGGCCGGACCAGAGGCACCCAGGAATTCAATTTTGATACTTATAGCTCCTCACAAGCACCCACTAAGCAAATAATTTTTGATGTCTGGCAAGTTCTCTGATGCTTATCAACTTTCTTGTTGACACCTACTGCATGCAGGAATGTGATCGCCTGTGGTTACTGGCAGTGCGGAGAGGGGCAGCACTCGGGTTATCCTAAGGATAATAATAAGCTCGAGATCTGCTTGGGGACTTCATAATGGCCATGTGGTGGCATCCCTTTCGGCAGATGAGTCCTTGTTGCCATGTTGAAACCCACAGTTCACTGCCCCCTCCGTTACAGCTATGGCGCTCAGAAGCTGTTTATTCGAATTGTATTTCTAAAAGCCAAGTGGTTCGTACTGGTGCTCCAAATGCAGAACTTGATTCAAGCTTCAAACCATTACAGCTTCCTAGTGGTGCCGATGTGATGGCCTGGTAATTCGACAAGCTTGCATTGGACTCGCTCCACTAGCAAAGCCAGCAAAGACTCTGGAGCGGGGATGTCGCCATTGCATTCTATCCGCTTCTCGTAGCAACGCTTCACGAACTCACTGAGGCCCAAATTCCTGTCATGGAGGCTTGTCGCGAAACGTGAGGATTTGGGAGACTGGACACCTGCGTTGAGTTAGACAACCATGCCATCGATGCTTTGGAGACGCATGGGACGGAGGATCCACGTCAAAATATCAACTGTTTTCGGTTCGTGAATCTGTGCAAGCATGATGCAACAATTGCTCGTCTGCAGTTCGAGGCTCTTAATGCCGGGGTGGACGAAGACACAGCGCATTGGGTACTGCGGCTCCTCCCGGCATTTCCTGGCTTGCAGCAAGGAGTTCCGTGCGCTACACGTTGCTCTGCCCCCGATGAGGGTCTGCAACAGAAATCATGGCAAGTACCAGGACGATAACAGCAACGACAATGACAAATAGCAAAAGGACAGCAGCAGGAGCAGCACCAACGAGACCGAGAAGCTGAACCCATCGCAGTCGTTGGGTGGATTTGTGTTCGGACAGCACGAATGCCTTCAGGGTAAGATTTGAGATGCTTGTCATGTTCTGTAGACTTTCAGTTCTTCACCATCGAACACGGTTCCGGACCTTCGAGAGGTGGTCGACAAGACAGCCACCACGACCTGACTCAGGGAATCCGGCCCACGATTTGTCAAACCTTGGGGGGGGGAAACCCCGCAGACTGAATGCCCCGACCTGGTTGAAGTCCCGCGAACTCTTCCTGGCACTCCTGGTGGCTTCGAACCGTGCATAACGACAGCCAACCTCCAGTCTGAACCAGAAGCGAAGTCCCAGTTAACCCTAGTACATCCGTACAAAACCCTACTAGTCATCATGGTCAGAGGGCAGTGCAGGGCGGCTCAGCCGTAAACTTTGCACGAAACGGCTGAACGCAGTATGACTTCCGAATACACGCTCAGAAAAGCACAGCCAGCCGAACTGCCGAACCTTCTGCACCGAATCCCAAGCTTACGCAAGCTGTCTGTGCTTCAAACTAAGGCTCCTCATGCGGCGTGAAGAGCATGGCGACATCTTGTGGCACATCGACCCCGGCAAGACCGTCTACGCCTCAAAAGATTTCACTGTGCCATCTCTTCTGCTTTGGCATTTCAGAATTTCAGATCCTGGACAGCTTCATCACATTCCGAATCTCTGGGTGGCTTAAAGGCCAAGGCAGTACACAAGGAACCTTTAACTCTTGATAAACAGTGTGCGTCTTTGGGTTGGCAGAGCTCTCTCATGTGTCATAAATGTTGCTTAAACCCGACGCACTCAAGCATGTCCTGTCCTTGCAATGGCAGATAGCTGTCGGCATCCTCGGGCCTCATCTTTAGGTGCGTGCATGTGCCGCAGATGCTTCAATCCGACTGCAAGTCTCTCCACCTTTGGGTCGCGGGCTGCCGGGCGCCGACGATGGCTGAGACCCACTCATCGTCCTTCAGGAGCCTGCAGCCAGAAGCTCGCAGGATTCGGGAAGCATGATCACGGTACTCCAAGCCAGGTGAGTGGGTATTTGGGTTTGTCAGAGTCGGATCTGTCCTCTGTAATTTGTCTGCTCTTGGTCTTCCTTCCCATCTGCGGGCATGAAGAAAGGTTTTCCTCCCATGCATCTCAAGGGCGGAGTGTCCGTGGACGAAAACAGTTTCTCAAGGCGCTGGCACCTGCGAGTGGTTGCACATCCAACATCGGCAGGGCAGAGGTTCTTGATATCGCTGCATTGAACTTAGACTATCTACCCATCTGCGGTAAGTCCAACGTTTTTGATGTTGCAGCTCTGGTGTTCATTTTCCTTGTGATTTTGCATTCAGGCAAAGCCAAGCCAGGTTCTTAGGCGAGCAGGTGTGGTTTGGCGACACCCGCCCGGCAGCTGCTTCCTGGGATCCCTTCTGTGCCATCCCCCCTGGAATGTTCAGTTGCTTGCTGCAATCACAAAGGTGCTCTCGAACACAAACATCCGGCCTTAGAAAGATGCGGCGACCGGCCTGCTGCCACTCCTGCTTCTTCTGTGGGCCACTGTGTGCAAAGCAAGAAATATCTGCCACAAACCTTGAAACAAGAGAACTTGCGGGTCTATCTCGCAACACCACCCTGCTAGCACTGTCGAGCCATCGGATGCATCGCCATGGGTATACAGCTGCTTCGTGCTAGGCAGAAGCACTCGCATCTGCAACTTAGCAGATTCGTGCGGAACATCTTCGTTGTCCGTATGCACGGTCCTTGCCATATGGTGCCAGCCATCCATCGTCTTTCGCAGCTGCAACCCATGCGAGGGCCTTGGCGGTGGGAAGAACTTCCCTTCTGAAAGGTCTAGATGCAGCACGAATCAACATTTGCGAAAATGCACAGACCGAATGCTAGCCGCTGTTGGCCCTGTTGCTCGGGTGGAACTCTCCTAGACTGTAGCTACAAGGACTATTCCTGCTGTGCTTTGCAAAAGTTTGCAATCCTCATTTCATTGCATCTTGCGTCACATTTCGGCAACCAAGCTGCTGTCGCGTTGTACGACTTGCCGTCGCAGCCCAGAACAGTCAATGGATTTGTAGAGGCCACTGCTCCATAAATGTACCTTGATCGATGACGGGAACTGGCACAAACGGAAACCTCATTGATCTAGTATTGCACGCTGCAGTTCATAGCTGAACATGCGAAAACGAGAACTCTGCACCCCTGCCCGGTTACTGTGTCGGCCCGCTCATATTCAGGCGGGCGATCACTGCAGATCCAGTGGACAGTCCAGGCTCCACGAATTTGGAATCTGCTGCAGATCGACCGTTGCAGGCGAACAAGATGCCATTGCTCGCCTTAGCATGAGGTCAGGCACCGAATTGCGTGTTTGATAAAACGGATACTTGTTAGAGCAAACGGAGCAGAACTGAGTGAAATCCTTTGTATCAATTGGTGACTCCCTGCTTGGGTCATGTCTGTTGAAAGACTCTCATTCCTGGATCCGGAACCGCTGTACCTGAAAGCAGCTTTGAAAAGCCATCAGGGCTGTGGCTGCTTCAGGGCTTGGGCTTGGGCCGGCCCAAACTATGGGTGGGGACTGTGGGGTTTGTATCTCGCGGATCGGGCAATATTCATTTGCCAAAGGCCACTTGCCTGCCGACGAGCCCCACACATGCATGATGTGCGCTTGGGATCGAAAGCTGGTTCTCTGTTGGGGCCATATTAAAGTGATCATTTTTAAACCTTATTCGTTTTTTTATTATAACAAAAATGTAAAGTTGTATCCAACAAGGACCCAGAAGAAGCTCGGATGACTAGAAGTAGTGCAGAGATTACTGAAGCCCTGCTGAGAGTGGGCCAAGAGGACAAGAGAATGAGTTTTCACTGCAGGTTTTTTCCAGCCGTGGATTCTCCTCGTGCTGCCGAACGAAAACTGACACCTTGCCGCGGTGCGCTTGCTGCGCGAGGTCGAGCGGAGCAGCAGAGCACCATCGCATTCTGAAATGCCTTGTTTGCACTCTGCAAGGCATGAGAGTAGTGAACAAGAGAGGGGGCAGTGTTATCCCAAAAAGTGACATGTGTACTCATTCAGCTACGAAGTAATAGAAATGGAACAAGCCTCTTACCTCTCTGCAGCCTCTTGCTTGAAAGACACCGTCTTTCAACTCTCAACCCAAAAAAAACCATCCAACAGCCGTACCCGGCAGTACCCGGCAGCCTGCCTGCATGAGTGCCACCTGCTCGGGCGGGAGCTGCCCCCTCACTCCCGCCCCCCGATTCGCAGCCCCTTGATTGAAGCATTCGTGCAGCGGAGCATATGTGCACATCATAAAGCCAACTACTCGGATTTAACATGCAAGCACCCTTACTTCTTGCAGTTCTTGCCACAGTGAAGCCAGTTTCCACTGGCTTCCGGCGACTTTCCGTATCAGAGCGCAGGCGGATTGGGCCAAGGGTTGATAAGATAGTGGCACGTCAGGATGGATACAACAGACCACGCCAAAACGCGGGTTAATAATGTCACAGGCTAGGACTGAAAAAGTTCTTGAGCTAATCTCAACTCCGTGTTCTCTTCCAGTTGGTGGTGCAACAAACACATGCTGTAAGCAGGGGCTCCATATGTATGTATGTATATATATATATATATATGTATATTTTCTATGCTTATATAGATATATGCACATGCATATTTGTGCCTCTTCGTTTATTTGTAATAAACACAGTAAATATGGGTCTGTACATAGATATATCTACATATGCTGAAAGGCTGTGAAGACCGAGGTCTCGCAGCCAATGCTACAACGAAAGTCTACATGAAGCAGACTGCAAAACTTTGCTTCTCCTCGAAAGAGCAGGCACTTGCCAAGATTTCTGGCGAATTTGTTTGTGCATGTAGACACGGCTCTGATGCCCTGCATTCGTGGAGTCTGTAGTTGGTCATTGCTAATGTGGCTAGATCAGGTGCAATGCTATTGGCAATTGCATTGCATCAGCCGCGGCTCCATGGGACAGCCCGGAAGGCTCACAGATACTTCCCGGGCCCAGGCAGGTATGAATGCTTGCGAATCAATTCAAACTGGCAGCCTTCCACGTTTGCCTCGCGCCCCATGGACTCACTCAGCGCAAAATGTTCTCAAGTTGAATTCGCTATAAGGGTGAAACCTCGGTGGGACTTCGTTGCCTCATTCATGCGTTCGGTTCTTGCTTCGGTTCTAAGTCTATGTAGCTTCCACAAACAAACTTCTTGGAGCTCCTTTCGCTCAGGGACTGCTGGCACGAAAGTTCAACCTGGAAGCAGTACCACCCAGAGGGCACAAATCAAAAAGATACTGCTGGCTCCGGAAATCACATGTGGAACGCATCATCAGGTAAGTTGAAGATGCCATTCTCTGGGTGTGCTTGCCCCGACACAAGAAGGTACAACAGTCGACGGCTTGCCGAATTTTCCAGTTCAGAATTCCAGCGCCATCGGCTTCTTCTCAGACAGTCTACGAAGATCGAGCCTGTGCATTGGTCTCCACTCGCGAACGGTACTGGGCTGACAGATGCCCTTCAAGTTAGGGATAGCTCTGCCATGCATCTCCAGCCTGATCCTCCGTCGGGAAAAACTCTCCAAATTTCAACGTGTCCTGAGCAAACTCAGGGCCGCGACATGATTTTCGTGTCGGGCAGTGGGTATCACCCGCGAAAAAATTGCTGCTGAGGGAAGGCACCGCATGCTAGTCACTCGGGCCACACCGAGCTCGGTATTCTCTTCTCGATGGTGTTTCGATCTCAAAGCGAAGGGGTTTCGAGGCCTCTGATGGGTTTCTGCAGTTAAACTGGCACCTGCATGAAAAAACTTCATCGCCTTTGACGAATCAACAACCCCTGAAATCACTACCAAAAACTGACTGCTGGCCAGCGGCATACATCTCCTGAGGCACAACACGCCGATCACCGTTAACATCCAATCCTTTCTGGGCATAGCGCGCCTGCTTCTCCTTAGAGTGCCAAAGTCTGGATAGACAGCTGCGCTGTGCAACATATGAATCATAATATGATATTATGAACACAGGCCTTCCTCTCAGCAGTAGCAAATTAAACTTCAGCGATTGAGTCTCCAGTCGCAGCAATAGTCAGGGATAGTCACAAAAAACATGAAAGGGGCTGTTCTTGAGAGAACAAACAGGCAACTTCCGACGTAGGTAACTGGAAGGGCCGCTCCAAACCAGGACTGTGCCGACGTGCCTCACCGCAAAAGGCTTTCGGAAGCACCCCTGTTGCACGCCCCCCTCCTGAACTACCTGTAGCCTGCCGACTGATGCTACTCGTGCGGTGCATCTCGTCGTCGAGCTCGCTGTGCTAGGCTGGCGAAGCATGACAGTAAGCTCAGCGTGCAGTAAAGGGGACAAAGGTACGAACAAACCGCTCGCTTTTCAGGCCCTCGCCCTCGGCTTCTGGGGCTTGTGCCGCCAGGTTTACCTCTTGCAGTGAGGCACATAAACGTGCCGCCTGGATGCTGTGAGGGGCGGCAGGAATGCCTTTGCGAACCTCACCTTGGCATCCATGATGCATGTCTCGAAATCTTTCGGGAGGTGACAGCTTGTGCAGGAGCAGACCTAGACCTCAACTACACTGGAGACTTACAGAGAAGGGTCTACATCCGTGCGCAGCTGTGTGAAACGCAAGTCCTCCAAATGCCGAAGTCCCAGCTCGAAACTCTCACATGGATGGTGATCCCAAACAACTGCAAGTCCAGGTTGCCATTTCGCTCTCTGCGATCTCTCCATTCTGCGAGAGGCGGCAGGCTATCTCGCTTCTCTGCATGGTGTACCGTCCCATAAGTTTCGCGAAGAAGAAGCATCATGTCAGAGATCATGCGGTTTTCGAACGTGATCAGCTGTTGTAGATTTTAGGGCACTTTCCGTATACCAACCTGTTGGCGTAACGTGTTTCAGGCTTTTCTTCGCCAGCGCACTTCTGCAACGTCAGACTCTGGCAAGCAGAGGGAGCTATTCAAACTCGAAACACCCCAACCCCTCGCACCCCAGAACGTCCGCCCGATTTGTGGAACTACCTTCGCTGGTGTGACAGTTCCGCAAAGCCTGGACTAAAATCTTTCATCCCAAGTTCTGAAGAAGAGGATGCATCCGCTCGTTCTGGAGCCCGTCTTCTTTCTACCCCGGGAAAAAATCCATTGCCTGATCCGCATCCAGAGCTTTGAAGGCGGTCTCGGGAGTGACTGAGCCCATGCCCTGCGCGAACCTCGGGAGCAGTCTGTTTCAATTCGAGGTTCACGAGACGACAGCGGCTCTGCATCTCCGTGTTTTGCCTGCAACCTCCCCACTCAAACTTCCAATCCCAGTAGTTGGAGCTTCCGCAAACTTTCAGGTGCCCTCATCTCCAAGGGCTCCCGGCTGTTTAATGGTGAGCGGCGGCTGCGAAAGACCCAAGTCCTGACGTCTTCAGTTCCGGTTTTGAAAATGGGACAAGAGTACCGAAGCACTGAAATTCGAAACCCAAGTTAAGCTCAGGGGTCGCAGTCAAGCTCATAAAGCCGAAAGGTGCAGAAGGTTCTGCAATTCCGGAGAGTCGGGTTGAACTTTTGCTTCTACATGTAGAGTCACGTTAAATCACTGAAGCTGAGAATTTGTCTGCCTTCCAACGAGTAAATGCATTTGCTGTTGGAAAATGAGCTTGAACCATCATGGCCCGAAGCTCGAGAAACCCATGGACAGGCCCCGTCCTTTCTGGAGCGCACTTTTATTTCGCTATCGGATCGACCCTCAAATGGGCCCTGGTGAACGAAGGCTAAGGCCGTGTAGAAACTCAATGTCTGACAGGGTCAAGCCGCTTTCATTCTGTGGCTTCGTTGCCGGACCCGACTTTTGATGATCTTTGATGTCTTCGTTTTGCTCTCTAGGCAGGAATATGGAAATCTCGGTGGAACTTCGCCTTGAAGCTGTGGCATCCGAATCACAGGTTCGGGTTTTCCGGTAGAAATGTATCAAAGAGCCCCATCAGCACAAATCCCATTGACGTTTCAGCCCCTCTCGCTCACTGCAGATCCCACCTCGCCTTCAGGACCTCCCTCTTTCGCCCGTTGTCCGGCTTTGGGTGAGACTGGGCCTGGCCAGTTGAAGCTTCGAACTGGACATGCGGAATCCACGTCAGGTACAGGACTCTCAGCTGAACAGGCGGTGCAGCTGATCTCTCGTTTGGTTCGTATGTTGGACAAGCCACGACTCACCAAGGCCAACGAGAAGGTGACTCCCTGAGTCACCAATCCCGTTGCACACACAAGGCTTATGCACCATCAGAAGTCTAGTGGGGCATGACGGCATTTGATGAGCCTCTGGTCGCGGCCCGCGTGCTTGCACATAGTGCTTCTGGTTGAATGCCTCGACTAAGCGCGAGCAGAAGCTTTCAAGGTCAGAGAAAGCTTGCATCTCATCCACCATGCGAGATGTCATGTGTGGTGTGGCGGAAAATGTGGTTCGTGTCTATGCCGGTACTTTATCTTGACATGTAGACACTCCCCAGTGGGACCAGCAAATACATGTCCGAGCTTGGCAACTAACCGGCTGTATGTGTAGGCTTTGGCAGGTCAATTCCGAAAGCCTTCAGTCATCCTTACCCCTGTGCTTCCGAGCAGCATTGGCGAACTCCTGGCCTGTCACCATGCCATCCTTCATCAGGCTTAAGACAAGAGATGCAACAGCCACCTGTAAGATCCTGTAACTTATCCAGAACACCTGTACGCGCTTCTTGCGTGTCTGTAGGATGGAACTGATGGAACTAGCTCTGAGACTCTTGCTGCCCCACTCGTTTCTCACCTGAAAGAGTATCCCTCCGCGGCACCCAACGAGAAGTCGTGCCGCCGGAAATGCAAACGAGGAGTGCGCAGCTCGCTAAGTGAAACATCGGGAGCGTGAGCTAGAATTCTGCATGTCTGCGGGCCTGTCTGTTAGTGTATACATGTTTTGCGATGCATCCGCAAACTTAACGCACTGCACAAATTTCTGCATGTAGGTCCTTGTTCAGATCCAAGCTTTGGAAGACGCCCTCCGCGGCTTCGCCCTTCACAGGTTGTGGTAGCTTCCCGAGGCCATCCATGAACCTCGGGACACGACAGAGTTAATTTGTCATTCCTACTAAATTCCAAAAAAAAGTTTTTGCTTTCGGTGAGATGTACGCACCTTAGCCCTGGACTCGTCATGTGCCGCGATGCCGTCGCTGTCGCTATCGAAGCTGCGCAGCGCATGCTGCGGAGATCCCTTACCTCCATCAACAGCGGGTAATACCAAAGCTCAAAGCCCACTGCACAGGACCTAAGCCCCACAGTTCAGCGCCGGCATCGGATCGCGAGGCAAAGACGTAATGTAAAACATGGCCTGCATCACCCATGTGGCTGATCAGCTGCTTCATTGACACCTCGTCCTGCCATTGCACTGCCCTTGACTTATGCTAGGTCAGGCAAGTGGGGGGAGTCTTGAGATTCCAACTGTGTCTTGCAAACAAGAACCCTGGCAACGACGGCTCCCACCACAAGAGATCGTGGGACAGCAGTTACACTGCAGCTACGCATGCTTAGCCTCATGATGATGCTCATGATCACCCGTATCACCACCACATTAAACCATATCCATAGACATCAGTATGCAGCATCATCCTCGTCAGAAGCACTGTCGCATCGGAACCACCTGATTTTCTGTCTGAACTTCTCTTTTGAAGAAGCCTTCTGCACGTGCTGTCCGATTGGACATCGTGGTGGCTCGACCCCTGCAGTCCAAAATGTCTCCCTTCCTTGCTTCGCCAATATCGTCTGCTTCTACTTTAGCTTGTGGCTGTGCAGCTCTGCAGGCTCGTTGAAGCATAAGATTGAGACTTTAACTGTCAATTTAAGAAGTTCAATCGTTTGTTGGCATTTCGGAGCTGGCACTCCTTTTGGGTTTCGGGTTTGTCACTGCTTCGGGTCTGAAAAATCTCGCTGCCGTGGCTGCCCGTTTCCACGTGCACGATGTAGCTTAACGCTGGTTGAGCTTTCATGGGTTCCTGGTGTAGCCGAATCAACCTTCCCCTTTTGGTGTTTTGGCAACTCGTGCTCGGACACTCTTGGGCATGTACGCAAATTTAGTATGGTTCCAGGCCCGAGGCTATGTTTTCCTACGTACCAGGCGGCGTCAGGAGCGTGTCTCTGGAATTAGCGCCTAGGCAAGTTGGCTTCTGTGTCGGCCAAACAGAAAGCTACGAAACGCAGGCACTGGCAGGCACCGAGGAAAGGCTCCTTCCAAATAGCCTCAGGTGGCGTCTTCTCGATCCTGGCTTTCGGGCCTGGGCACCCCTTCCTCACATGGAGCTGTCCGTTTCGATACCGGGCCACAAGGAACAGGCAAGTCAGGGCTGTCATGAATCTGCAGCCGGAGGCACAAGGCTCCCGTGAGTTCACACTAAGAACCAGGCGAGTCGGTCTGGGTTCCGGGTGGTGCTTGGCAGCTTCCCGCTCGGCCCTTTCCCTCTCTGCCTGCGAGACTGGGATGCCTGATCATGTCCGTGATCTACTGTGCTCCACCAAAACACTGACGGTTTCGAGAGTTCGAGCGCAATCGGGATGATGTAACATTTGCATACGAAGCCTTGAACAAAACCTCAACACCGTGAACAAACTCAACACCGAAGCGGGCCTGCTCCCGCGCCGCCTGCTCCCGGGCCGCTTGCTCCCGCGCCGCTTGCTCCCGTGCGTGCGCTTCCTTTCCAGCAGGTTTTAACCCACATAATGAGGCAGCAAGGAGAGCATGCCCTTCTGGCCTCCTGTGCAGCAGCCCTCTGCCTCTCCTCAGCAGACGAAGGCTCGTCTGCTGACGGCATCGTGGTCGTCGTGATTTCCCTGCGCACAAAATAAATTGAAACTCAAACATTCTAGTCGAAGACCGGATCCACATTTTCGCATAACGGTGCAAGGAGTTGGTGGGCGGCCCGCTGGTGCCAGTGAGTCACAAAACATGGTCTGGTTGAGCCAGGAGACCAGTAGTAGAAGTCAGGCTCTGAAAGGCCTTTGTCCCACTCCTTGGAAGTCGATCAGCCCGCAACTAGGTTTGTAACTTAAAAGCTTTGTGACCGCCTTTGACATGAGGTTCTACAGATTCTTCTTGCCTTGCAAAGCTTTCGGCTGGGGCACATGGCAAGTTAGAAAGAAGCCGGATTCATCATGCTAACGACTGCGAGGATGGGTACAGTTGCCCACTCTGCACATCGTCATGATCATCACCATCATCACCACCACCTGCCACCGCCACCGCCACCACCACAATTACCACGTCAGCATCATCATCATCACCACCATCACTATCGCCATCACCATCACCATCACCAGCATCAGCATCACCATCATCTTCATCATCATTTTGCTTTCGCGTCGGGCTGTGAATCATATTGTCGGTTGTGGCAACGGTTTGCTGCTACAGCCTCCGCTGTGTCATTCTGCCTGAACGTCTCGTCTCTGCCTGAAGCCTTGCCTGGTGTGGAGTCAGCCGAGAAGTTCGTCTAGCCTAGCATGTCGAAACGAATAGCGAGCACAGCCGGAACAGGGAAAGCCAAAGCCTTGAAGAACGCAAGAAGTAAGTGCTCAGAGACTCCCAGTCTGCTGAAACAGCAGCCCTCCAATAACAAAGTTTCTAAGATCTACATGACAAGCCATAGAACCGTCGGCATGTACATGCGCATTTGTATGTGTATGCACGTATGCAAGTGTATGCATATGTACATAGCTGTGCACACATGTTTGCGCACAAACGAAAACAGATGTTACAAGACCATATTATATGCTACAAGTTAATAAAATACAATATGAGATAAATCCAATATGTGCAGTATAGCATAAGATAGCAGAATACAAATGCAGTATAACATGCCAGCCTGTATCACAATTTGGCATAGAGTAACAGAATGTAAGATTATGTTATATCGCAACAAGCTACTTAGAATAACTATATTCACATGACATGAGGAAGGATATGTTTGCAAACTGAAGTACAACAGGGCACAATATGATGAAATGTAATGTAATGTAGGGTAGTATAATGCACCACAAAGTGAAACATGATGAGAAAACATGGAAAAATATAACGCAACATAACATATTATTACATAGCACGATACAACTCCATTTGGTAGTGAAGCGACTACTTGTCTAGAATTGCAAACGAATAGGTGAACCTAAATAAATGTATGCACGTATCTACATGTCCACACACAAAAGCACAAAGCGCTATGCCTAGATATGTGTGTACGAACACGCACATAGAATCACGCGCTGATGCATGCGAACCCCTACATGTATACCACTCGGGTAGCTCTCTGCCCCAAGGCCAGATAGAAGAACTCGCTACCAAACTACCATCTGGGGCAGCTGGCTTCTGCGGTCAGCTTGTCGTCGAAATTCTCATCCAAACCCTTGAATGTAAAGAGGACCTGCCAAAGCACAGCCCACTTTCCTACAGGAAAAGAACTCATGCAATAAATTGAATGCTAATCTGAGGTTGCGAGGCTATGGAGAAACAGCTCCAAGATGACCCAAGGCAAGGAGCACACGAGTGAGGCACGGGCTGTGCTACAACGTGGGGTGTATGTGCAGCTCTGCCATGCGCCAATCTGTGCTAAGATTGGTAGATACCTGATGATGCGACTTACTTTGTGTAAACACCCTGACAGCCTGCTCCTCCTTGACGATGGGCTGTTTCAGGTCATTCAGGAACTTTCGAAACTCTGTCAAGTCCTCAGGCCGGCGGTTGGTGCTAAGAGCTGGGACCAACCCACTGCTGGGAGTTCATGTGGCCTCAGGTGAGAACCGAAAGAACTGTGTCGTGCCAACCCCTGAACCGAGGCATTCTCAGGCGATGACTACGTGTCCATCCTCCGACGTATCCATGACGGTGTAGGCGCTATTGACGTCCTGAAACTGTCAGCGAGTCAGCACCTCTGCTTGCTCCCCTCACCATGACACCGCTATGGGCGGTGATGCGATGGGAGCGAGTTTCGGGAGCTTCCTCGAAGCAGGCCACACATGCTGCGACCCGTGTGGTTGCAGCTTTTCTGTCGGTAAGGACTGACTTCAAGAGGTACTGCGTCTTACTTCGGTTCACGTGTCCTGTTGACTGACTCCAAGGAGTGCCTCATGCAACCTCCTTCGGATCACGGATCACGAGTCACATGCCCACAAGCTCTCAACTCCGCCCCAGACCTCAACCTCGCCTTCCATTGGACAACTTGTCTACAGTTTTTTAGTCCCTGCACATAATGCATGCGTGAAAATCGAAACTAGGACGACACTGGGGCCCGGACATCAAACTGGTTGTCTGCAAACACGTGCAAGGCCTCACGGAAAAAAACGCGGTCGTCGTAGTGGTGTAGCAGTAATTGGTGGTAGTGGTGGTGGTCGTAGTAGTAATGGTCGTAGTAGTAAAAGCAGCAGTAGTGGTGGCAGTAACAGTGGCAGTGGTAGAGGCAGTGGTAGCGGTGGTAGTGGAAGTCGAAGTAGGGATATCAGCAGCAGGAGGAGCCGGCAGCAGAAGTAGTAATAATAGTCGTAGCTGTCGGTGGTGGTGGTGGTGGTGGTGGTGGGGGTGGTGGCGGTGGTGGCGGTGCTGGAGGTGATGGTGGAAGTGGTTTCCGTAGCAGTCGTCATAGTCGTAGTAGTAGCAGTAGAAGAAGAAGTTGTAGTCGCAGTACTAGCAGTAGTACTAGTAGTAGCAGTTGCAGAAGCAGTAGCAGTAGTGGTAATGGCAGGAGCGGCAGCAGCAGTCGCAGCAGCAGCAGGAGCAGTAGGAGTCGGAGCAGTAGTAGTAGTAGTAGTAGTAGTAGCAGTAGTAGTAGTAGTAGTAGTAGCAGTAGTAGTAGCAGCAGCAGCAGCAGCAGGAGGAGGCGAAGGAGTAGGAGTGGGAGTAGGTGCAGGAGCAAGAGCAGGAGCAGTAACAAGAAACCGTAGTATTACGACGATGAATGCACAGACTCGTCCATAACCTGACTGGTCGACAGCATACAGCTGTCAGAGATCAAACTCCCCACACCCCTCTAATCCCAATGTTGATGAGACTCATGAAAGATTTCGGCTATTTGCGCACATGCCGTGGTTGAAATTTCTGGTGGTCAAAAAGTTCGAGCCAGGGTGTGGAATGAATAGCTGGCGTGAGAAAGACTATGCACGATTGCGTCCATCAGCAGTACGGCGTCAAATTGTCGCTGTAGCCCCGTGACCTTCAACATCCTGTCTTGTCTGGAACGTAGGCCTATGGCTCAGACGGGAACAAAGAACACTGGCATGAGCATGGCTACTTGCTGCACTGGCTTCGTCACTTGGGGTTGGCGGGGTTCCAGCTTTCTTCGTGCACAGCAGAAGAGCCTTCCTAGTTTCAAATCACAATTCATTTTCGAAACGAATCTAGTTAGCATTCATAAAAGCGAAGGCATTTTCTAGTGCGCAGCTTGAGGAAGAAAATCTAGCGTTCCTAGAGTCAGAGTGTTGGGTTTTCAGTAAACGCATGCCGAAAGATATCTCCCCCCCATAAAAGCAAATCCGCTTGAAACTTGGCGATTGCCAAGTATTCTGCGTCCCAGACCATGCAGCCCGAAGCTGCCCGAGCTTCACGAGCAGCAAAGAACATGTACGGTACAGGTGCTGATATCCCTCGGTAACAGCTCGTATATAAACACGCGCACAAACAACAGAATAGTGAACAGTGAGTGCATTCAGAGGCGGTGGTCGATATCGTGGTGGTGGTGGTGGTGGTGTCGGTGGTGGTTGCAGCAGCTCTTTTGTTGTGGCATGGAGCTGCTAGTACTGTAATGGGAGAAGTAGTCGTCACGGAGTAAAGGTTTTGCCAGGGCCAGGTATTGACGTAGCAATACCGGCAACGATGGCGGAATTGTTATCTTGACGAGAACGAAAGTACCACGAACTTGGTTACGGATACCGTTGGGAAGGAAGCAATCGGACAAGCAGGCTGGGCTAGCATGCGAAATCCTTAGTCGAGGCGCAAAAACGCAAAACACATAGACTCTTGTTCCAAGAATTTCAAACTCTGCCGATGTTTGTTTTACGAAACTTCAATTTTCCCGAATCATCTTTTCTATTTTTGTCAAGAATCAATTAAGGTTCACCCACCTCTTCTCACGTCTGTCGACACATCATACATCCATCAATCAATCGATGAATCAACCAATCAATCGGTCACCGAGTTCTTCCGAACTACACCGTCGAGAAGAGGCCATGAAGCTGCAGCATGTGCACGCCACAGGCTCCATCACCGGGCTCCACAAAACAATGAAATCCTCATCTTGTAGACATGAACTATGGAAGCTCTACCATGCTCCTTGAATATGTGCAGCTTCAACGATCGGATGCTGACGCTTTTCAGTTTGTTGCTTCCTATCTTGCCCACTTAGAAAGCCTCACGCCCGCAAACTCCATACGTCAAACGAAAGCCGAAAGCCCCGGTCCGAAGGATGTTAGCCTGAACAGCCTTAACAATCATGCATCGACAGAATTGAAGCCGCGGTCGCCAACTTCCGGGCCTTAAAGTCGTCCATGCTAACCTTGCCGACATGGCGCTCCCAGGTCCTTGCAAAGTGACACGGACGGCTCCAAGGACTTTTGTCATATTTAGGGCTCCGAAGCCTCAGTCAAGTATCTTTCGGTTTCATGTTTCAGAGTGGCATTGTCGGGTTCAGCGTTTCGGGCCACTGCACTCAGAAAAGAACCTCATGCCCATCCGTACCACAGCCTCCTGTCTTCCAGTATGTGCGAATCAATTACGCATCTTTCGGATTCGCCAGGGCTCTTCTTGACGCCGTGGGTTTGCGGAAGGGTTGAGAACTAAACCTCTAACCCGACTCCGTATGCGAAAAAGGCTGAGCGGCAAGATGCCCTCACCACGGAACCGTGGACCCAGTTCCTCCCTGCTCGATATGCAACTTCTAAATCGAAAGTAGAATGCAGGAGTGACCCCGGATATCGGGCTTGGCCGAGGCTGCTGCTTGACCCAGCCCATGGTGACCTCAGGTTGGTTAGGCTGTGCTTGCCGTAGCCTTTCCTGTGTGCCACGATAGTCTTCATGCACCCTATGGAGGAGTATCCGCTGCTGGAATGCCATCAGCACTGCCCATGATAGGTTTCGAGGTTGCGGTTTCAGCGCGCAGGCTCTCAGACTGTGTTGTACAGCTCGCATTGCAGGAAATCATGCGAATGCAAAGTCGGCGGTGTTCAACTTCTTAAAACTCAAGCGCAGCTGGGGGGCGATATCGAAAAAGGGCAAGGCCACCATGCAAACAAGCAGGGCGCAGCCGAATGTGGCCACCAAGCCCAAAGTCACCTGGCAGCCAATCCATTTCTATCGAAAGTGCTTCTGGGTCAGCATTAGCAGTTTCGTCGGCTTTGAAAGCATGACCATAGCGGTGCCAAGTTCATTGTAACTTCACGGCTTGCTGACCGTAGATAGCTTTACAAAAGATTGTTGTGGCCGAAGCAAGCTTCGTGCACATGTCGCGGCATGTGACATTGACAAGCAAGTCAGAGCTGAAATAACATGTTCTGCTCTCAGAGCACCAGTTCTAGTGCCGACCCTAGCAGTGTAAGGCCTGACCTAGTTTGCTGTCCCCAGCTTGTGATTCGACACGTCGCGTGCTACAGGAGTTTGCAGTGCAGATGGTGGTGGGCTGTCGTGGTGACCGTGACAGTGATGGCGACGATGGCTGCCAGCTAGTGAAAAGGAGATGACTATATTGTAAAGTCCATGGGCAGCTTATCTCATGAAGCTTCATGACCTGCACATGTGTGCTCATGTGCCTTGCATCGGATCTTTCTCGGTCTTCCCCATTGTCTGGCGAACTGTCGAATTTATGCATGGCTTGTCCTTGCATGATCTGAAATTAACGGAGATGTCCATGTGAAATATGATGGGTGAGCGGAGGCTCAGAAGTCTCCTTTCACTCCGGGCGGATATCGAGGCTCACACCAGAAATTGAAGCAGTTCGTTCGGCAGCCTTTGTCCAAAGGGTTCGCCTCAGGCGAGTAGACGAAGCCTCCGTTGTCCAAAAGGTCGTTATACTCGTCCGAATCTGATAAGCTCTCCACTGGAACATTGCTGCCCTTGGACGTGTTGTGCGCCACATAGTGAATGTTCTGCTTCCACTCGTGGGCTGTCTCGTTCCTCGAAACGAGCCCCACGTGGATCTTGAAGATTTGCCCTTCTAGATACAGCAAAATCAACGAATAAGTCCAATGCAGTGCAAGGATGACATCCCTGACAATCTGGAACCCGGCCTGCTCGTATGCGAAGGCCGCCAGGCAAGGATCAATGACGACCCCCAGCACTGCAATCAGCGTCAAGCCAATCAGCATCGCCATGAACTCTCGGTGATTCATCAAACCAACAACGTTCTGAAGCCACCTGCAATAGTGATCGTAGCGTCGAATGGGCTCCGGGTACAGCCAAGACTTGTGGGTACGCTTGGGCAGCTCGGCCCCCTCATCTTTGATGCTCTCAGGGGTGATTTGCCCGGGGTCCGATCTGGCCACCCACAGCATGCACAGCAAGGTCGGACCGAAGATGATCGCCTCGATCGTGAGGAAGATAGTGCAATTCCACCCGGTCAGCTCGGTCAACATGGGGATATGTACCATGGACACGGCTACAGCACCGAGAAGCGTCGAGAGACTGAGTGCCGCCGGCAAAACAGGCTTCCAACACTCAGAACTGGCATCAGGACCCTTGCTGTCTTCCCCGAACTTGTTCTCGTCGCAAGCTTCTTCTGGGTCGTGACATGCTTCTTTGTCTGCTGACCTCTTGCCACCTGGGCCCACAATGGGCACTTTAGGCATCATCTGCTGCACCACTGGCACCTGGATTGCGAAGGAGCTTTGCACAGGCTTGTAGTTCTGCACCACATAGGGACCGTACGCATCACCACGAACGCGACCCTGAAGCAGCATGGCGTTGGACACGATGGACACTAAGTAATCCTAGAAGCTTGATGAACCGAATGTTGAGACATGTTGTGCACAGGGCATGAACTCTGGCATCTTCGTGGTTGGTGCAGTGGCAGTAGCAGTAGTAGCAGTAGTAGTAGTAGTAGTAGTAGTAGTAGAAGTAGGAGTAGTAGGAGTAGCAGGAGTAGCAGTAGTAGTAGTAGTAGTAGTAGTAGTAGCAGCAGCAGCAGCAGCAGCAGTAGCAGCAGCAGCAGTATACAAGTGGGACTAGAGTAGTAAATGCAGGTGCAGCTGCAGGCAGGCGGCAGCAGTGGCAGCAGCAGCAGGCGGCAGCAGCAGGCGGCAGCAGCGCATCAGCAGCGGAGCAGCAGAAGCAATGGCAGCGGCAGCAGCAGCGGCAGCGGCGGCAGCAGCAGCAGCAGCAGCAGCGGCGGCAACAGCGGCAGCGGCCGGCATCAGCATTCGCAGCAGCAGCCGCGGCAGCAGCTGTAGCAGCAGGTGTAGGAGCGTTGGTGGAAGTGGTAGGGGCAGTGGCAACTGTAGCGGTGGCGGTAGCGGCAGGCAGGCAGGCTCGGAGGTTTCATACATAGGCTTGCAGCACCTCTCCGCAGCTGTCTAACTTGTCCAGGTCCATATTCTTGACGTGGCCTTTGGCGAAGAAACAAAGAGGCTGACTTTGTGACTGGTATGCAATCTCCTGGCGTTTCCGGGACAGCTGCTGGCTGAGTTTCAGCATGCTAAGAAAGGACGAACGCCAGTATCCAGCACGAACTTTAAGCCGTCAGGCCTGCTTCCTGGTCGACAAGGCGCCGCGTCGTCTGCGCATCACACCTGCAGACAACTTTGTGGTCCGAGAACAAAACAGTGCTGCGGGCTCTACAAGAAGGCCATAGAAGAACCAGTTAACACATGGACTTGTACAGGCTTCCAATCTGATTTCACCGCGTGATAGATGCTTGCATCCCTGCCTGATAGATGTCATATTCGACTTGCTTGCCATGATTGACCTGCGGTGGAACTTCGTCCACCACAAGCCTTGGCACGTCTGAGGCTGGCAGTGTGCAAGATTACTTTTGCGCAAGATGCTCAAGAACTACATCAGCTGCACGCTGTCTGAGTGTCCTGCCACTGTCGACAGCACAAGCCCTTGACTCCCTGAGCCCCAGCTTCGCTTGGGCCTGTTAAGCAATCGCGGGCTGTGCGCCTGACCATCCCAGCTTTGCATTAGGCTTGGAATCAGCACGATGCTTTCGTGATTTTCGTGGTTCAAGCCGTGTTCCCAGTCCCTCTGCCAGCTTCAGTGCCTCAGGTGCGACACATTTTCCATACTCCACGGCAGAACGACAGAAACTGGGTGCCATAGTATACAAAGATTCGGCTGTTGAGATGCAAAGAGCACGTATGTGAGAACCTCTGACCTCGAATTCGGCTCTCAGGCGTTGAAGCAGTTGTGCATGCATCGTTCGAGACAGCTTTCAGGGAAGGCCACCGCAGTTTGTCGCAATGCCATCGCTATAAACTGTCGCAGCAACTATGGCAACTATGGGCACTTCCCGGAAAAGGCAGAGGCCTCTGCTCTGCCAGGTGCAAAACGTCTTGCCCGAATAAGGCCGCTCTACTATCAGGCAAGCTTCCGTGCTGGAAGCTCGGCATGATGGAACCCTGGCCTTCACCTTTTGAATCCAAAACCAATCAAACACCCATCCTCCCTGAACGGATGACCGGCGACAGGCATCGGTCGATGGGCAGGCAGGTCTGGAAACATTCAGGGTGCTGGCGAGTTGAGCTGCAAGACTTGGGCAGTTGCGTGTAGCGGAAGAAGTATGCGCACGATAGCATCCTGTCGACCCCAGATAGGAATGTCACGTAATGTCCAGACCCAAAAATCCTGCCTGACAAGCCCTCACAACTCCGTCTTCTTGGGGACCCTGTCTCCTGAAACAGTTGGCAGGATGAGAGCAGCTGATTTGTTTCAGATCGAACTCGCAGACCATACAGCGAAGGCTATGGCGTTGGTGTTTTCGTGCGACATTCAATGTTCGAAACCCTCTTGCTAGAGTTGTGACTGACATGCGTGCCCAGGCACCCAGAATCTTGATCAGTTCCATCCTCGGCAGCTCACTCAATCTTGGAACCTCCCAGCCCCACCCTCCGCAAACAATGGTAGCTGCCAGTAGCCTGGGAAGCTGGTACATCCCACCCAGACTCAGCTGCCACCGGGCTTCTGGAAGACCAAAGCAGCGTCTGCGGGGATCTTTCCTCCGGCACCGCGCTTGCCATATGCCTCACCATGCCGAAAGACCGTCGCTGTGCAGCGCCACGAAAAACAAACGAGGTCAGGAGAATTCTCTAGTTCTACAGCAGCACAGGCCCCTAACATGTCAGGTACAAGGTTTTCACAGTGTGGGCGTCCGAACAGGAAGAGGTTCCGGGAGAATCTGCCGGTCAATGCTGCAGGTCAGGAATGGAAAAGGTGAGCCACATAGAGCATCCCCTGAAACTGGGCACCCGCAAAATGTAAAATCGGACAAACTCGGGAAGGGGGCGTAGTGAGGGGGGCGGGCCGGGACCTTTTTGCATTTGAGGCTTCTTGAAGCAGCCAGGACGGCCAAATCAACGTGCGACGGTGACTGCCAATTCTTCCACTGGGGCTATTTTTGCATTGAGGGCTCCAGGCAAGCACTAGAGCACTCCCGGGAGACGGCATCGGCCTTGTGGAACATCGGCTACCATGAGGTGGTCCCGAACCCATCTCTTGATTCTCATTTTGCTTCTTCGCTCTTCCATCACGTCAACTGAAACAGGCCAAGGTATTTCTGAATCCCGAATTATTGGAGGACTGCGATCCGAACGAACAAACAAACAATCACACATTCTCTCCGTAGCTCTCTCTCTCTCTCTCTCTGCCTAATCATGTCAAATGACGGGCCCTGCAAAGCGACTTCCGACGCGTCGCGGGATAATGAAAACGAACAGTTTGACGTATGGTTCCTGGATTTTGCCAACGAACCAGCAGCAGAGGAGGAGGGGGAGCAGCAGCTGCGCATGAACGCGACCAGAATGCTTGGTGTTCCTGACTAGTTTATGCTGAAAATTGGGGACTGCTCTCTTGAAACATGGCACATGGCTCGCGAAAAGCCCAGATGATCAGATGCCCAGCCTCAAACTAAAAGCCACATAATCCTAATCACAGAACCCTACGCCCTCTACGAGCCCAGCTGACTGCAGCAGGGGGGCCAGCTCTGAGGGGATGTACATCTCCCACTTGTCACCCTCAACCATGAGTTGCATTGCCTCAAGAGGGGCGTGCAATCACTGAATTGCAGGACGGCCCATGGCTCTTCCAGTGCGCGAAACCGTGCAGGCGGTTTCGATTTGCGTCAGCATAATTAGCAAACCAGCGGAGTCTGAAACTGCCGTCCCCTCCCTCTCGGAATCCTTACGTAATCAGGCAAAGCCCAGTTTTCACATCTCGGAGCATGTGGGTGGAGCCTCGGTCCAACCTGCAATGACCTGCTGGCAAGGGTGGAAAGCATCGAGGACAACAAGGGGACTACAATGACTACAACACCGTACGGTGCATGCATGCGTGTCAACACTCGGTGATTCCGGCTTCATGCTGCAACAGCAATCAAACACGGTCAAGTAGCATGGGGAAAAGCGATACCGTCACTGTCGCCTGGCTCGGCTTGAAGGTCGCAGGCTTCCCACGCTTGTAGGAGGAGTCAAACTCTGTGCCGTCGATGAGCCTCAGCCAGGGGCCGATGGTGGCAATGCGCAGCCTCTGGACAAGGCAAGCCAAAGCTTACTCGTGGTCATCTCTGGTCCTGGCAACATGTATCCCCTTAGTTTCTGTCACTGGCTTCAGACATCCGATGCAAAAGATCCACTCATGGGCTCGGGCCCCATGCTGGTTCATGAAATCCTTCCAGCTCCAGTTGTCTGCTACGGTAATAAGTGCCGAAGGACAACAAACAGCATACCAAGCAGACTCTGGGAAGAATTTCTGAGATTGGCTTTTGTGTATGGGGCAATGGATTGCAGAATCTGGCGTGTGTGTGTGTGTGTGTGTATATATATATATAGATATACACACATACGTACACATGCTCGCGGGGCAGCTGCTTGCCAGCAGCGTGCGCGTTGATAGACTTCGCAATGCGGGCATGGCGAGACATATTCAATCACACGGCCAGTGCATGCGGACATGCTCTTTTTTTGTAGGGCATAAGTTGTGATTGGCACATGCCGAGCACCTCTCTACACAGAATGATGTTCATGTAAAGATTCTCCTAAAGCAGCCCTTGTCCACGGCATGCCCTTGCCCGGTAAGGCCATATTAATAAATTGCGGTTTTGTTTGTTCTGATCCTGAGGCATTCGAAGGAGATGATAGGGCAAGGGCAACGCAGGGGACTCCCGCGGAGAGTTAGGTATATGGGGATGAACACTGCTTGCATGAAAACAGACTGGGCACCGAAAAACGTATAAACTCAGCAGAGAACAAATACTGCAAGCCTATTCATGACCCTATGCCGGACAAGAAACACTAGAAAAACGCATCTGCCTATGCAGCGGAATAATCAGATTTTGATATTGCGTCGGCGAAATAGACAATGATAGATAGAGGCAACCATAGATCGACAGACAGACAGAGATCGTCAGAGAGATAGGCAGGTAGACAAAAATGCACAGAGACAGACAGAGACAAACAGAAATAGTCCGAAACCAACACAACTAGACAGGCTGAGCCGCCAACAAGACAGACAGAGACATACAGGGGTAGACAGACACACAGAGATAAACAAAGAAAGCTAAAGACGGAGACAGAGAAATGAAGAAAACGAGTCCAGGGACAAACAAAACCAGACAGAGACAGATAAGCTCTAACACCAATATGCTTCTGTACGGGCTGCCGGCGCCCCTCTGCGCCAACCTTGTCAGATAATCCCTCTCCATTGGGACATCGTCAAATTCTATTACGTAATGCTTCTCGAATACGAATCAGCCGAAACAGAGAGAGATGACAAAGATTAACCCTTCTCCTCTTGCGGACTTCTGGCTTAGTTGTTTATGAGGACGGGATGTTCAAGTTCTGGGTCGTGATATTCACCCGACGAGCCAGACAGAGATAGATAGAGATAGGCAGGCAGAGACAGTCACAGACAGGCAGAGAGAGACAGAGACAGAGAAAGACAAAGAGAGATGGAGAGAGACAGGGGCAAATAGAGAAAGACAGAGAGAGAGAGAGAGAGAGAGAGAGACAGAGAGAGACAAATACAGACAGAGACAAACAGAAACAGATAGAAACAGACAGTGACAAATAGAAAGAGAGAGAACCAAACAGAGACAAACCAGCTCTGCCGCCAACGTACTTCTGGCCTGGCTACTGATTCACCTCTCTGCGCCCAGCTCGTCGAGCGATCCTTGTCCTCTTGCGGGCTTCTGAATTGCTCATGGCACGTCATGTAAAAGTTCGTGATGTTCATCCGCGGAAACAGACAGAGATTGGCCCCTCTCCTCACCCTCTCTTCTTTAGGGCTTCTGAGCTGTTCATGGAGACGTCATGTTTGTAGATCGTGATGAAATCCGGCGACAGAGACAGAGATAGACAGAGATAGCGGAAGCAGAGAGCGAGAGAGAGAGAGAGAGAGGGACAGAGACTGAGACAAACAAAGACGGAACCAGACAAAGAGACTCTCTGAAATAATAACCATTATCGAGAAAAACTAGCCAAGGTCTACCACAATAACGAATAACGAATGTAGGTAGTGTCAAAGGAACATGCATTGCTATGAAGCATCGCGCAAGCCAACCACTCGCAAGAACATCAACGATAAGGTGCGCCGCTGTGATTGTTGGCCAAAGCTGAGTAAACTGAGTGCAATCTCGAACTATTCTGCAGCCGTAGCTGTGAAGTTCGAAAGAAATTGGTAAGCAAACCGAAACACGTTCATTATCATATTAGTAGTGTTTGGAGTCGAGAAAGCCTCGGTAGTGTCATTGAGGTTCGAGAAAGACTGGCGGAAACATTCATAGCCGCTTCTTTTTGGCACCATCGTCATTCTTGGCCGAGTTTGAGAAATATTCGTGTAGATAACCCGACGAAGCTTCGCTTTGATCTTGATACCCCAAACAATTTCCACAAAGCATCGTTAAGATTTCAGCAACCCAAACCATTTTGTAAAATAAATAAGGAGAGCTGGACCATAGGTCTCAAACATATCGGATTTTTCGAGTTCCCCTCCGCGAAATAGCCGGAATATTTTGAACAGGTGGTCCGGGGACCATTGTCTAAAATGTTCCGGGTTCTTTGGGAAAGCTGTCCCTACAGCGGCTATTAGGAACTATGAAGCCGTGCGGTTGGGGCATACATCAATCAACAACCCAGGGTTTTTGGAGAAGCCATCCAGCAAAACGCACGCAAAAAGTCGAACGCGTTTGACGGGTTTCGTTGGATAGTCAATACATATATTCACATAAGTATAAATATAAATACAAATAAACGAATAAATAAAGGAAAATGTACATATATATATATATATACATTTATGAATATACATATATATATATACATGCATACCGATGTAGCGGTATGTATGTGTGTATGTGTGTATGTATGTATGTATGTATGTATGTATGTATGTATGTTTGTTTGTTTGTTTGTATGTATGCTTGTTTGTTTGTACGAGTAAATGTTTGAATGCATGTATGTATGCATGCATGCATATATACACATGTGGATATTCTGGAAACAAGCCCTTAAGATCAACAAACAGCATTAAACCCCCAGGGCTTTGGTCAGCCGCAGAGCGTTCCGCTGTAGTGACACTCGCAGGCCGTCGACTTCGTGGGATGGTGCATGCCGGTGCCAGTCTTCAGAACCTGCAGTGTAATTCCGGTTTTTGGGGATCTGGTCGGGAGTGGGGATATGTGGGAAGCAGTCATCTGCACAATTTCCGCCCCGACCATGATTTGGGCTGTGAAGCGTAGGAAGACCAAACCAAGCATGTCCACACGGGAATGCAGCCCCATGAGCCTTGTAGAGCAGTCCAGATGGCAGCTTGATCACACCCTCTTCCGCCTCCTTCTCTTTCAGGAAAGCGGTGCCCTCAGCAGAGATGGACTCGACTCGCCGTGCTGGTGCTAGACTTGCATGGATCCTTCCATTTGTCACACACGGACACTCTAGTATGCCGCAGCGTGTTTTATGCTGTCCTGCAAACTGCGGCAGCCTTCTGCAGACTTGCCAAGTCAAGTGGGATCAAGTGAAATATCAGTTTCAGCCCTGCTCCCCACTATCTAAGAGGCTGTGCAGGATCATCTCGTCCTCAAATAATTGCATCTGCACATGCCCTATCCCCACGTAGGCATGGTTCATGCCACTACGAGGAACCGTTTTTGGAGCACGTCAGCACAAGAAGCCAAGGGAGAAAACAAGCGAGCGCCAAATCGTTTTCATAAAGATCGCAGTTCATAGAGTCCCTGACTCCCAGGCCTTGTCATCAGTGGCAGAAACTGCACATGCTAGAACCTCAGGTGTGCATACTTTCAGTCCACAACCAATCCCGACAATCCCGAATCTGCAGCTCGTCAGGTCCTTGCAGGGTTTCACACCAGGTCTGGCTGTGCGAGGCAAGGACGTTCTCATCCAATGGCACATACCCGAAAGCCTTTCATCTCCCAAACTACATCTGAAGATCAAATTCACCGGGTGCAGCACCAAGCCAAGAACTGCAAGCATCTGCATGGCGGCTTGTGGAACCGGACCTGAGAGGTGCCAGGCTTGCAGAGTCAAACCACGAGGCTCATCAAACCCTTGCATCGGTTCTTTGCCCTTCCTGTTACCAGCAAGGAGCCTTGGCTGTGCTGGTTCCGAGGATTGTCCACTGATGGCTGGAGCCGGTGGTCACAGGGTCGAAGCAGCAGCTCAAATTTCAGAACATATGTACTTAGATTCCAAGCAGCATGACATGTTTCCGCATGCCACGAGGTGCCCGGCTGCCGAGATTCGTTTTTGGATTCTTGCACGCCGGCAGTCGAAGCATTGCTGTACAGCGCTGTGACACGCAAACCTCTTACGCGGTCGCAAATTCATCAAGCATGGAAAACTATCTAGTCCACACTCCAAACCGGGTCAGGCTAAGGCGCCTAGAGTCCTACAGGGCCAAGACTATTCGCCAGGCTGAGCTGAGCAAGGCCTTGATAACGAAGGGGATGCCATGGGGTTCCGTTCGACCCAGTGAAGCAAGAGGCCCTCAACCCAGCCTGGCAAAAGGGCACAAGGCCTCTCTACGTGGTGCATCACTTTGCATCGAACTTTTTCTTCTCCTCTGCTGCTCTGTACCATGTGGATGCATGCAAACCTGCGGTAACAGACTCTTGGCGGACCCACAGGACACCAGACCAGAATTCGAGGTTTGTGTGTGTGTGTGTGTCTGTAAACTTTAAGCTAAAGCCACCCTGGTGAACCTCATGCGTCCTCCACCGACTTCAAGATCCCGCACTACTGAGTCTCAAATCTGAGCCGTAGCACCTCCGAACACCTCCACGAAGGAGCATCTACCTGACCCCAAGAGATTGGCTCTGAGTTGAGCACCTCGAGTAGACGCTGTGTCACCTGCTTGGGGCGTCAACCCTGATCCGGGGTATGGGTTGGCACATATCAATGTCGTCCGCAAGACTGCCTGAATGGTTTTTGGCTGCAAAAAACTCAGGAATTTCAGGGTGCACTCACGGAACAACTGTTGCTTATGTTCTTTAACAGTTCATCTGCTAGAGAGGCTCAAGAAATTCTAATTGCAGTAGGGTGTAGCAACACTACTACCGCCGTACTTGTCGCACTAGCCAGCCCTACCGGCACCGACGACCACAACTACAACCACCACCACTACCACCACCACAACAACAACAGCTAAAGCAACAGCAACAGCAAAACAATCATCACAATCTTCACAGTTGCTGGTAAGTGTTTCCGCTTTCCTTCTTCGTCTTCACGTTCTGGTGTTGCTGCAGCTGCTGCTTGCTGCTGCAGCTGCTGCCACACCGAAAGTGGTGCTGATGCTAGTGCTAGTACCAATACTGTTACTGGTGCTGATACTGGACCTAGCACTAGCACTGGTACTAGCTGCAGCAGTCGCAGTGGTAGTAATAGTAGTAGTAGTGGTGGTGGTGGAGGTGGTCGTCGTCGTAGTGGTTGTGGCAGTGGTAGCAGCAGCGGTAGTGGTAGCAGGAGTAATGATAGTAGTGTAGGGGTAGTGGTGGTGGTAGTAGCAGGGATCAGCCTTGGACCTGGAGACTATCCGGCAACCTCACAGGCCGAGCCTCCTTCACTCTGGACAGAACATCTCCACGCTGCGCTTCGACCACGTGCTCGAGGATGGGGGCCTGGACTTCGCAGGGCAACAATCGATTGCATCTGAGTCTTTCATCGAGATATCGTGTTTGGCCATTGTTGCTGGGGCGTGATGCTCTGTCGGCTGAGGAAGCTGCCCACTTGTCCGGGTGCCATCGGATCAACGCCGTCCGAAGCTTCCTTATTTGTGTCTGTCCACCTCTACCCCATGCACCCGAGGAAAGAAGTTGAAGACAGGGCCAGTGGCAGTAAATGTCGGTGTGAACAAGCTAGGAAGAATACTTGCCAGCTCCACAAGCTTCGATGGCTAAGTCCTGCCTCGCACACCACGTCTGAGTATAGTCGCAGGTGCCTTCTTATTCCAGCTAATCTGAAAATAATACTGCAGCAGTCCTGTAGCGAACAGGCGCCCGGAAAACCCTGTTTGCCGAGTTTCTTTTTGATATCTGCGGTGGTATCAGATGCCAACACACCAGAGACAGAGGGCAAAGAGTGCGGCCACGGAATCTCCACCTGGGCTATTGGAGCAACGGCACAAGCACAAGGCTTCGGGTGAACCTCGTAGAAATCAGGCTCACCGATTCCGTAGAATCGGTACAGCATTTGCTGACTCGAAGGCCTTGGCCCTTCTACGTGCACTCCCTGAAAAAGCAAGAAACACTGCCGTGGCCCTGCTGGAATTATTGCACGCTGTTGTGTTTCGCAGGTTTTTGCGGGTTTGGTCTGAGTGTGTCGGGACTCCAACTTGCTAGCAGCACTCTGCCACAAACACTTGCAATCTCTTCTGCCGAGACCAATGATCAACACGTCTACCTGTTAATGAGTTCCTGGAGATATCCGTTCCCTCTAACGCCAATCGGCTCGACGTGGCTCGATTGTTGTTGTGATTCCGAGCTAAGTGTCATGAGATCCCTTTGTGCCGTATGGTCACGCCAAGCTGCGGCCGTAAGCAAACCCTTCTGGCTTCCTGTGGCAAGGAAGCAGTCTGGAGTCTCAACATGTCCCGACACCTACCAAACAATTTCGCAATGTGCAGGCGGGTCTTGGCACCTGTTTCTCGAATCTTCCAGTCTTCCCATCTTTCTCAAACCCTCCTCCTTGTCCAAGTGCCCGGCCTCGTTTGTGCGGTTTACTTCTCTTTCTCAAACTTATCATCCTTTCAACGCGTCTGTTGCTCTTTCTGAAACTCTGCTCATTGTCAAGCGTTTCTGGTCTCTGTCTGGCGGCTTGCTGCTCTGTCTCAAAATTCTTAGTTGCTGAGTTCATAAGCCAAATAAACTGTACACTTTCAGTTTCATAAGGAGCAATATTATCCCAAACAGTTTAAAGTGTACTCATTCAGCTACTAAGAATTTAAAATTCTTATCGATTAGCTTGCTCCTCTTCCTCAAAGCGTCCTCTTTGTGCTTTTATATCAACTTCTGTAGTCTCTGTCGAGCGGTTTGCACCCGTTTGTCAAATGTTGCAATCCCATTCGACTGGGTTGCCTCTCTTTCCCACATTCTCTTCTTTGTCAAGGTCTCTGAAATTCAGTAATCCATTCGAGCAGATTGCTCCTCGGTTTTCTCGAACTCTTGAAGGGCTCTTTTAATCGGTGTTTCCCGCATTCGAATTTCTCAGGGCTCGTTCGATCGACCGGCTTGCTGATCGCTTTGACGTTCTCTAGCCCTCTTCGGGCGGAGTGTACCTCTTTTCTTTCTCGAGTCCTGTTAGAGCGGTTCGTCGCTCTTTCCCAAATCTTCTCTCTGTTTCGAGTGGCTTGCTCTCTAGTCTCCTTCGGGCAGTTTGCTCCTGATTCCAAGCTCTCTCATCTCTGTCGATGTTTTCTTCCTTTTTCCACAATCGCGGTTGCCGCGAATTTAGGGAATTCTCCAATCCGTTTCCAGCGGCTCGCAGCCGTTTGTCGAAAGGTCAGTCTATGGTAGAGTAAACGCAGAAGCAGGTGAGCATGAAGAACAACTAAACAGAAAAGAAACCAAAACCTTTGTGCCAATTAAAAAGGCAATGTTAAAATTAGAAGAACAGGTTAATAATAAACGAGAGATAGAGAACTATTGGTATAACTATGATCGCGACAAGATGATTAGTAAGTATGGAAGTGTATTACACATTCATAACAAAGGGAACAGATATGTTTGTAGTAAAGAAAAATTGGACCGAATAGATTTTAATATAATGGAAAGACCGCGGAATTATTTAAATTGTTGGAATTGTTAATAAATACATAGCATTTACTAAATTTAGTAAAATCCTATGTTGCGGCATGGTTTAAGAGCTTAGGGGTTGGCTTCTGTGTTGTGGGGGTTATGGTTTTATGAGTTTTTGGTATTGTGTGTTGCGAGGTCGGGGGTGAGGGGTACTGCTTTAATTTGGGTTTGGGTTTGGGATTTGGTGTTGTGTTGGGAGGTGCTTTGGTTTTGGATTGTAATTGAGATTTCGGCTTAGGTTTTGGGAGGTGCTTTGTGTATTGGCGGGTTTTGAGGTTGATTTTAGGGGGCGGTTTGAGAAACGGGGTAAAAGTGTAGGGGGGGAGTATAGGATGTGAGGTGTGGGGTAAGGGCGGTGCTTCGGATTTTGCTTTGCGCGGTGCTGTGTTGGGAGGTGCTTTGTGTTTTGGATTTCGGTGTGGGACTTGGGAGGTGCTGTGTGTTTTGGATGGTATTTGGGATTGTGGCGTGGGATTTGGGAGGTGCTTGGCGTGCTGGATTGTATTTGGGATTTCGGTGTGGGAATTGGGAGGTGCTTTGTGTCTTGGATTGCATTTGGGATTTGGCTTCGGATTCGGGAGGTGCTTTGTGTATTGTGGTTTTGGAAAGGTCGATTTCTTAGGCGGGTTGAGAAATGGTGTGACAGTGCAGGGTGGGGTATAGGATGTGAGGTGTGGGGTTAGCCTCTGCTTGCTTCTAATCCCTCTCGACTGGTATGCTTCTGTTTCTCAAATTCCCGTTTCGTGAAAATACCTAGTCTCTTTCAAGCGGTTTGCTGCTGTTTTTAACCGTTTCTAAGCCCTCTCGACTGGTTTGCTTTTGTTCGAATGTCAGTTTTTGTGAAAATCGCTAGTCTTGCGGTTTGCTGCTGTTTTTAACCGTTTCTAATCCCTCTCGACTGGCTTTCTTTTGTTTCTCAACTTCCAGTTTCTGTGAAAATCTCTAATCTCTTTCCAGCTGTTTGCTGCTGTTTTTGGTCGCTTCTAATCCCTCTCGACTGGTTTGATTCTGTTCCTCAAATTCTAGTCTTTGCAAAAGTCTCTAGTCGCTTGCGAGCGGCTTGCTGCTGCTTTTGACCGCCTCTAGACCCTCTCGGCTGGTGTACTTCTCAGCTTACAGTGTTTGTGAAAAATGAAGCTCTTGTGTAGTCTCTTTCGAGCGGTTTGCTGCTGTTTTAAACTGCTTTTA